TTCTCTTCAGGCTCTCTCCATAAATCTTTTTTTTCTTCTTTGACTTATTCAACGCATTCATCTTTGAAAGAAATATTTACTGAGCACTTCCTATGTGCCAGGCCCTGTGCCAAGTGCTAGATATAGGCATATCAGTAACGAGCGAGGTACAGTCCCTTCCCTTGGAGATTTCCTCAACCTTCTCTTTCATGCCCCTCATCTTAGTTGGAGCAAAATATAGTGAAAAGACCCTTTAGCCCTAATTAGGGTACCTGTATTCTTGTTCCAATCTTGCTGTTAGTCTAAGGGGTAAGTCCCTTAACCTGTCTGGATATAATTTTCCTCTTCTGTAAATAAAAGTGTTGAACAAGAGCAGTATGTAAGAACCTCTTAGACTAAGTGCTGGCCTGTGAACCAAAAGATTGCTGGTTCAATTCCCAGTCAGGGTACGTGCCTGAGTTGTAGGCTGGGTCCCCAGTTGGGGGTGTGCAAGAGGCAACTGATCAATGTACCTCTTGCATACCAATGTTTCTCTCCCAATCTTTCCCCCTCTCTAAAAATAAATAAATAAAATCTTTTTTTAATAGAAAAAAGAACCTCTCACATAGGTTTTTCTCTAGTAGCTCCTAACTAACCTCCTTGCTTTCATTTTTTCCCCTTCCCCCCACACTTATTTTAAACACAGCACCCATACTAATCTTGTTAAAATGTTAAGTCAGGTCTTGTTACTCCTCTGCTCACATCCCCCCAGTGGGGCTCTGCCAAAATAAAACCCAAATTCCTTACTGTGTCCTGGAGGTAGCACACGACCTAGCCCCCAACTACCTCTCTGACCTGGCACTCTTCCCTCCCTCAGTCCCCCAGGCACACTGGTCTCCTTGGTGTTTCCTGCACACTCTAAGCACACTTCCCTCTCAGGGCCTTTGCATGTGCTTTGCCACTGCAAGGGAAGCCCTCCCTCCCCCCCCCCCCCCACCACCCCAGCTTTGCATGACTCATTCCCTGACCTCCTTCAGTGCTGTGCTCCATTGTGTCCTCAGAAGGCATTTTCTGATCTGACCGCCCTATGTAAAATAGCCCCTTTGTGTCACTCTATGACCCTTTACCATGCTTCTTTCTTTTCTATCCTTATAATATGTCGTAATTTACTTATCTTCTGTCTCCCTCCACTAGAAAATACACACCATTAGAATAGGGATCTTACCTACTTTGTTCCCTGCTATATCCCTAGTGTCTAGAACAGTGCCTGACATGTACTAAGTGCTCAGTGAATGTCTGCTGGACTAATGAAGGAATGAATCTCCTCTAATAATAAAGTAAGTCTTGGTGTGTGTCAAAATGTATTTATACTTAGCAGGATTCAAATCTGGCTACTGGGACCTACAAGGGGCTGGTCAGGTATCAGAATTGAGCTACACAGAGTACTTAACAATAGAACTGGACCATCAGCAGAAGCCAGTCCATTCCTTTCCACTCAGACTTCAGTTTCATCGCTAGGCAGTCGCAATGAGATCAGACCTTAATACCATTTCTTTTAAGCAGCTTCACTTGGTGAGAGGAGTAGGCATTACTGTTCTCATTTGACTTAAGCCCAGAAATTTTGGTCATTTGTCCCACATCATCCAGCCTTTTCAAGGCAGATATACAATAAGAACACAGATCCTGACCTCCAAGCCTATCATTGTTTATGTTTTCTTTTTTTAAATCCTCACCTGAAAATATGTTTTTAAATTGATTTTAGAGAAAGGAGAGGAAGAGAGAGAAACATCAATCAGTTGCCTACTACATGTGCCCCAGTCAGGAATCAAACTTGCAACCAGGTATATGCCCTGACAGGGGTTCAAACCCACAACCTTTTGATGTACAGGACAATGCTCCAACCAGCTGAGCCACCCAGCCAGGGCTACAGCTGTTTGTTTTCAACAGTGATGCACGCAAGACTGGAAGACCTGTGTGCACTATTTATAGGCATGAGAAATACGTGAGGTATGGGATAAAAAGTGCACATTCACAATCATGAGGAACTTTTTCCACTGAACCTCTGAAGTGATTGCATGTTCTAGGGGTTCATGTATTGATCTTTCACATTGTCACACCCTCAAAGCTTGGCACATGCTCGATTCATGTGTGCTGATTAAATAAAAGTAGCAGCCTCATATTAAATGGAAGCCCACTAGATAATAAAATTACACTTAGGTAATAATTACTCTCATTGCCTGCATAGGCCACAGCCTTGGAGACATTCACACCCACAAAGAGCAAAACCACCACACTCACATACATACACACCACATCCCTTGAAGGAGAAGGAGAAGAAAAAGTGACATCTCCACACTGTATCCACACCTGCCTGTACAGGTGCTTGCCAGCCAGGTGAGGAGTGAGGACAAAGTTGCCAGCTCACAGTTTGGTTTGGTATCTCTGGGGCACAATAATGATACACACAGATGAATGCATACACAGAGAGGGGCAAAGTAGGTTTACACTTGTGAAACCCAGAGTTTATTCTGGTATTATATGTTATTTTCCATATGAACAACTGTAAACCCATGTTTGCCCCACCCTGCATGCCTATGTGGACAGAGGCCTGTTTACAAACACAAACGCACAAATTCTCATGTGCACCTACATTCATTATAATTAGGCAGAATACAAATTACGACTCAATTTACATACACAGAAATACACATGGCTGTCTCACCCAAGCATACTCCCAAAAATAAATGCACAGGTATACAAGCACATTCACAAAGATAATGTTTACCTCAAGGTATGACTGTAAGAAGTATGTGAGATTATGTGACATGCACACTAATACCTGCCATGTAGAAGACATGCTGATAAAGGTTAGTGATCAGTAGATACATAACACAAATCTGTGTCAGACTTATGTGAATACCCACCTTCAAAGAAAATTTCCTTTCAGTCACTACTCAGAACCTCATGGAAATTCAAAGTAGCTCATTACTGTTCTGGTGCATAGGAGCCAATAAAAGAGCAAGTAACGTGGGGTGTGCTGTACCCCAGGGGAGGGAAGAGGCTGGCAAACAAAGCTTTCTGGATTTTTTTTTTTCTGGAGGACAGGCATGGGCTTGGGGGAAGCTGAACTGTTAAGAATTATTTTAGAGAGAACCAGTCTCCAACAACTCAAAAAGAGTTCCAAAAGTAACGGGGGGGGGGGGGGGGGGCTCAGTGGGCTGGGAGGAAAGAACCCCAGAGTCCCAGCCAATTCAAATCAGCCAGAAAAACCTGCAGAGGCCATTAATCCACCAAAGTCCAGGAGCTTGAAGAAAATCTGATTAACTCCACCTCCTCAGCTGAGCTCTGGAGTGAAATGTATAGCTGGTTTCTGAGACCCAAGTAAGGTGGGAAAACAGAGAAACAGGAGAAAGAGAATGCAGGGAATGGGAGGGTAGATGCTGAATACCTGTATGTACAGCTTGACTCTACCATTATTTTGGAGCAAGCCACAACTCCACATGGCTCTGTGTCCCCAGCTTGTGAGATGTAAATACAACTGTCTTCTGTGCAGCTGGAAGATGGCATGTCTTCCTCATTTCCCAAACGGTTGCCAGCAGTGAGGCCAGGACAGCGGGAAATTGCTCAAGGAATTTCCCCTTCATTTTCCTGCTGCAGTGACCCTAGGGGGAAAGAGCAGGGAGAAGAATGTCTTCCTTTATTGACTAGGCTTCTCTTTGAAACCTCTCCTTTTTCTTGGGGCCAAATATTATAACTTCAGAGCTCTAAAGAAACTCCTGGTTCTTGCTCAATTCTTCCCATTTAAGGTGATAAACTGAGCCCAGAAGCATGTCTGAACTGGGGCCTGTGGGTCTGTTTTATTCACATGCAACTACATTCTTTTAAAAAAAATGCATTGTTTTTCGAGACCTCCAGAGATTAACTCCATAACCTCCTCCACCCCACCACTCCCACGCAAAGAAGAGGGAGACACGATCTCATCCAGCACTCTAAGCGTTAAACTAAACCCAGAGTCTAACACCCAATTGGTGAAACTCTGGGAAAAGATCTGGTTTTTGCTGCCGTTGGCCAATGAGCACCTCCAGTGGGTGGGTTTGAAGATACTAAGGAGTTTTCCCCCCTTTTTTCTCTCCACCCCCTCCCATCAGCCATCGCCTGCCCCCCCCCTTCAATCCCCAACGCCGCCAGTTTGTTAAATTAATGCAGCAAGAAACTCTAAAGATCTGAAGGAGTCTTGGCCAAAGGAAGATGGGTGAGCTCGGAAAACCAAGATATATCTGAAGCCTTGGGCTCCTGAGCCCCCCAGAATCGCCATGGACCCTAGCAGCCCCTGAAACTTGCCCTGAGCTCGCTCACGTCTGCAGCCCCGAGCGATGGGACATCTTTCCTGCAGCGATCATAACTTATTCGGCGGGGACCAGAGAACAGGAATTGAAAGGCGACAGCAGACAGACACACAGGCAGGGGAAGATTTCGGGACTCGGTCGCGATGCGCCAGCCTGGCACATTCTCCAGCATCTAACTGAAGGCAGCACCATCCATCGCTTCCCCTCGCCCCTATCCCCCCTTCAGGCCAGCCCAGGGGCATTAAGCCCTTACTCTACCCAAGATGCTCACCCAATCTAACAGTCCGCGGCCAGTGCTCTGATCTCCACGGAAGATTCTTTTTTCTTGCATGGAGCTGGCCGTTTAAAGAGAAAAACGGGTAAAAAGAAAATATACCCACCCCCAAACGTGCCTCCCCAGCGCCGCAGGGAGCCAACAGACACGCTGGAGTTTAACAAACAGCAATACTCTTCGCGCTCCCGAAAAGCAGGGCTGGACGCTCTCCGCGGTGCTGAAACGCTTCGCAGCGGCTGCTGTCCGCGGTACCTACAGCCCCCTGGCTCCAATTTCCCCTGGGGCTTCCCTTCTGTGCCCGCTTCCCCGCCTCCCCTTAGCATCTGGATTATTTTTCAACAGCGCTCGCTGGTTTTATAAGTACCAATCTGAAACATTTTTGACCCCATAACTCGTGGACTACAAAGCACAAGGACCTGAAAATGTACAGCTTCAATACTCTTCGACTCTACCTTTGGGAGACCATTGTATTCTTCAGGTATGCAATTTTCTACTAACCACATCGCTCTGATGGAGATGGGGGAAAGGAGCACGGAGGCTGACTCTGTCCGTGATCCCCTCATTTGGGGGGAGGGGTATCATATGCCACAGCAATCGGGTCCTTCCGTCCCCCGCTCCCCCCTCCCCAGCCCCGCCCGCAGGATGTCTGGCTTGTGCGTGGAGGTCTGAGACAGTCGTTGCTCCTGGCAGCTGTTCGCCTGTTTCTCGTGATTTGTTTGCCCTTCTGCCTGCTACACCCCCGCTCCATCTATGGCCCCCAGCCCCCCTGCATATTGGCTCTCACTCAGCTGGGGACTTTAAGGGGAAGCTTTAGGAGTTACTCAGTTTAATTAGGACTGCATTCTCTCTAACCGCAGTGCCGAAAACCTCAGCTCCCCCGTCTGGGGGAGCCAAGTGACAACTAGCGGCGACGGGGGAGGTTGCACTGGAACTCACTGGACATAAAACATTTCATTTTCTCTCCTTTTTTTTGCTGTTGTTGTTTTCTTTTTCTGCGGATTGTGGGAGTGTGCTGCTGAGGCTTAGTGCTCGGAAATGATAGTGCGATGACCTCAGTTTGTAAAGTCCTGAACTTGGTTGGGTACACAGTGGGTCTATTTGGAAACAGATTCTGGGAAACATTTCCCTTTTGAAACTTTGACTCTCTCCTCTCCTTACCTTTCCAAACTCTACTTCGTTAGCTGAAGGTCCTGAACTGTTGGGCAACTCCTGTTTGTGTTTTGTTTATTAATATATGTCTATCCCTGACTCGGTAGCTAAGTTTCCCCACCCATTTTCTCCCAGGTTAAAATTCTCTTCCTACAGGCGTAGCATGTAGGTTCATATGTTGGTACAAGCAAAAAGTGAAAAATTGCCACTTCAGGAAGCATTGAAAATGGATAGTCCTTTTGAAAGTGTGTGAATGATACCATCTTCAGAGGTGGTTATGATAAATTCCATTTACATGAATTGAAAAAAATTATCCTTCTTCCATGACCTGCAGGGATCATTAATCTTCCTCATTTTAGATGCCTGCCTCTCATATTTTCCCATGGCAAAGGACTAACAGTAATTTGAAAAACCTACACTAAGCTGCTTTTTAAAATAGGTAACAACTGAATACTATTCTCCCCTGTCATAAACCAGTAAATAATGATTGGATTTGGGGGTTTTTAGCATTGTAGAGAACTCTGCATATGAATGGTTGGTTTGACTAACTGTCGGTTGGACTATTACATGAACGACACCTCCCCCTAGACTGTAAGGGTCTACACATAAGCCTTTCTTCATGTCTTTCTCTGGAGATAAAAAAAAGACCCCTCTCCTTCTCCGAGCTACCCAATATTTAAAGCTTCTAATCTCCAGTTCAAATAATCCTTTGATAGGCCACAGTCCTGCCTACAGCTCAGAATGCAAACAGCCGGGGAGTCAGATAGAATGAAAAAAAAAAGTGCAACAATCCAGAGCCTTGTGAAATGTAGCAGTTTGGTGGGGGAAAGGGCAGAAAGTATCCTCTGCCCTTTTAATTGAACAATACCAAATCATTTCTCCCATTCATACAGAGTAGAACTATAAAATGCTGTGGAGGTGGAGTTCTTGGTAACATTTGTATGCAAATTGAGTCTCTGTTTGGCATATGGAGCAGAACTGAACCAGAGAGATTAAAGAGCAAATTAATAAGACCAAGCACATCACCCCCACCCAACTCCTTTTTTCTCGATGAATAGTACGTAATGTTTGATTTTGTTCTTCTAGACATCATCTTTCAAAAGGGAAACACAGTCTAAAAGGTTTGCATGGTAATCGTCTTGATAAGGTTATAAATGTACCATGTTAATACTTTAAATAAACTGGCGGTGGCCTATCAGGAAGCATCACTCTGCATCGGCTTCCCCTACATGGGTCACGATGTGTGTGAGCAACAATGGAGATGGGCTAAGGCTCCGTGTGTTTATAAGGAGAGTCATGATGACGGAGAGCTGGGAAGCGACTGGCACCACTGCACTTTCAAAACACAGAAACGGCTTCAGCATTGGAGGAGTCAACACTGTTTCAGAGATAACCTGAAACATAAAATAATGAAAATGAGAACTGAACTAGGAAAATACCCTTAGCAATTTTTCATAGAGGTGAAAAAATGGGTTATAGGGAGGAAAAGTATTATCATTGTGTAACTGGCATGGTCATTTCCAACTCTCTCATCTTTCTAAATTTTAGGTGAAAAGTAGGGAAGCATTAAAATCTGGGGGCTCCATAGAATGCGTATGGGGGTAAATGGGGACTGACAGCCCCCTAGAAGGTTCTGTGTGAATAACCCCTCCCCCCATAAGGGACAGGTGTTGTGTTAGGATGAGCCAATCCAATCGTCTCAGGCACCCAGGTGCTCCTTATATTAAATGATGCCAGCTGCTCACCTTGTTGGGGCAACCTGGGGGCTAGAAAAGGGAAACTCAGTAGCAGAAGTACTGCTGCATCAGCACGTAACCAGTGAGATGGCAATAATGACAGCAAAACAAATAAAACAACAATCAGACTTCTCGAGGCAGAAATCTCATCTGGTGCCAACAATCAAGGCCTCAGAAAGAGCTGAGGGGGACAGAGACTGGGGTCCTGAGAGTCAGACAGCATTGTGGTACTCATCAGCTAGGTCCCCACAAGTAAAAAGAGGCGATTCAGCTGAAGTTCCTATTCTGATATTTGAAAAGCCTGTGGGTCTAAAATTCTAAGAGTGACATTTTAGTATAACCTAAATTTTGTCTCTTTATTTTTATCAATGAGGATAGGGCTTTAGATCCAGACTGGTCAAAAATAACAGGCAAAGAGGGGTTTCTAATGCATTCCTTTCTAAACAAAGAAAACTTGCTTTGATTCCCAGACCCCTTACAGAGACTTATAGGTGGAAAGGGACCAGGGTAACCCCCAAATTTTCTCACCTCAGTAACTCAAATAGACCCATGGTATACAACCACATCTCTCAACCTCAGCACCACTGGCAATTTGAACTGGACGATTCCTTGTTAAGAGGGCTTCCCTGTGCATTGTAAGATGTTCAGCAGCATCCTTGGCACCAGAGCACCCCTTCTCCAGTAATAACAACCAAGAACCCCTTCAGACCCTGCCAGAAGTCCAGGGTTGGGAGACAAAACTGCCTATAGTTGAGAACCACTGGTAATGGAGTAATGACTTTTGAATCCACTGCACTGATGCACTAATTATAATGAGAAAAGTCTAGTTTCCTTGAGGAAATATCCCTCATGAAACACGTAAGCACCCCAGAGAAGCAAAAAGAGGCCTAGCTTATGCGTGAGAAGGGAATAAAAGCAGAGGACCTAAACCAGGTCTAAGTGGTGGGTGGCTTTCCCCAAAGATGATGGCTTTTCATCATGTGCCGGTTCCACCTGCCATCCCAGGAAATGGTCCCTTGCTCAGGGTTTTGCACTGAATGTGGCACACACTTGCTGAGAAAGGTCACCCAAACCTTGAAGGGAAAATATTTCTCTGCTCAGTAGGGTCAAAAGGAACAGAGCAAATAGGTATTTTTTCATATCTTGGTCCTGAAAAAGCACCCAGTTGAAAGGCAAATGAGGCAGCCCCTCTGGCTTCCTGGCCTCCAAGCTTGCTGAGAGGGCCAGGCGACCACCCAGTCTTCCTCCTGGAGCATAGCAGTATGCTCCTGAAACCTCCCTCGCTGCATTCTGGGCACTGCGGAAAGTGTCTAGGAGCTACTGAAGTGGGTCAAGGACTTTTTCCTAAGGACAGAAGCCCCTGGGGCAAGTTTTCAGTAGGGTTAATCAAAATGTCACCCTACCCATTTGGGGGGCCTCAGGAACCTTGAGAAGGAGAAACCATTGTGTCTTCTGTCCCCATGGGACAGCTTGGACAAGGACCCTCGGGTGGTAAACAGAGTTACAGTTCAGCACATACCTTCTGCATATTTGCAACACTGATAGTGACCTTTCAGGGGTGTTTAGGGAATTTGTTTTGGAGACCACCCTGGGAAAGAGGTCGCAGCCATGTAGTGCAGTGAAAGAGTGGCTAGGCTGTGATCTGGGAGCCCCTTCTAGAGTCGCTCTGCCCCCACCCTGCAGCATGGCTTTCACAGGTCTCTCTCCCCTGTGAGGACTCGGTTTTCTTACCGGTGAACTCAGACGACTGCTTCCAACACCTCTGAGTCCCCTCCAGTTGTGCATTAGGTCTTTCAGAGAGACAGAGGCCCAGGCTCACAAAGGCTCGGGGTGAAGCTGCCTCGCTGCAGATGCTGCCTTCACTTCTTGACCAGGCGTTTATGTGTCACGTGCTCATGTGTCCAGTCCAAAACTAGGCACTCCACAGGGGAGACAGAGGTAACAGATGCCACAACCCCTGTCCTGGCAGGAAGGGGAGACGTGGCTCCTTTTAAAGCTACATCAAAACCTTCCTTCTTCAGAGGGCCCAAAGAGCTCAGCCAGCCTGCCCGCGGCCTGCGACAGCACCACACTTATGTGGGCGTCATTAACTTTATTTCCTTCATCAGCAGACAGGAGCCAGAATGATTTCTAAGATGGATGGCACTGTCTCCCATCTGGCCGTCCTGATGCTATTCTGCAGGTTTTCTGCTGCTTTAGACAAAGTGGCCGTGGTCCAAAGGGCAGAAGACCTGGGATCCAGAATTTAGCTAGTGGCATGACCTTGAGAGGATTCTATGACCTTTCTGGCCTCGGTTTCCCCAGCCCCCCCAAAAAAGAGAATAAAATGCACAAGTCATTTTATCTAAAATAATTGTTAGCTGTGTCAGCCAAGGGCAATATTCTCCCAACCTCCTCCATAATAGAACAGGTTTGGGTACAGCTATCAGCATATTTTAATTATTACAAGAAAGAACAACATTGAATTATATTCAAGCTCAGCGGTCTGAAAGAATTCAAGGCCTCACTAACAACTTCATTCTTTGGGGAGTTACCCCAACCTAGAAACAATTAATGACAGGTCCCATAAATATGTCAGTTTCCCCAGAAAATG